GGGATGATGGACGATGATGGGAGGACGTTGAGGGGAGGGCGGGGCAGCGAGGCTGCGCCGCCGGTGGTACGTTTGGTGGTTTGGGGAAGAAGGAGATGGTCTGGAGGTTGAAGAAGCAATCTGCACCACTTGTTTTCTATCCAACGGCTGAAACGGAATCGACTTACCACTACCATTTCCCTTAATTTACAGGCATAGCTTACCTGGTTGTGAGGGACTTTTTGCTGGAAAAGAAACGACCGACGGAGACCCGTATTTTTTACAAGGGTATTTGGAAGGAAAACCACAATCCAAAGAAAACCCAGGTTGCCCGTGTTTGTTTTCTTTTTCTATTCTTGTTTGTGGGTTCTCAGTTCCTAAAAAGGGAAATCAGGAGGGTTTTCCCCTTGTAGACAGAAAAAAAAGTCGCAGTTTGAGAATACCTCATTGCCTAAAGCTGATCAGCAAGCTAAGAAATACTCCCTCCGTTCTGAAATACTTGTCCTAAAAATGGATAAAATGAATGTATCTAATAACTAAATTAAGTTTAGATACAACGATTTCTAGGACAAGTATTTCCGGACGGAGGGAGTATTACAGTAAACTGAATCCAAAACGAGGAAACTACCTCATTGCCTAGCATGACTGACACTGATAGCATTTTCTTTACAAAAAGCATTGATTTCGTGGCGGAAAGCTAAAGGTTTAATTCCAAAGTTATCTGATCAAAGAGATTTCAGGGAGCGTTTAAAGTTTTGCCAATTGTCAAAGAAGTAATTTTCGTCAAAGCCAAGCTGCTAAACCTTCACCGTCCTTCAAGTCTCTCTCCCTAAACAATCCAAGGTTTTCTCTTTAAGCAATGGAAGACAATGATTACCAGCACCAGTCTATTTGACAGCTTTCTTCACACTTACTGCTCCCTTACGGACACCAAACCCTGTGGTTGTGTCAACTTAAGCCTTTAATAGCTTGCACTGGTACGAAAGAAACTGACTGCTTCCATTTCTTCTACTGAAAGGACAATGCCAACTAAGTTCAGATGGAAATTCGGAGCATACAACTACAGTTCACGGTCTCACCCTATATAAGCAGGCAGCCCAATCCTAAATGCACACATGGAGGACAGTAATTATGTTCTAGACAGGAAAATCACAAGACCAGACAAGGTTTTACAGAAGCAAATTTAAGTCCTACTCAACCGGTACCAGCTTATTTCAGATGCAACATGGCTAATCTCAGTTAAAATCTTTCAACCTTCTCTTCAGCACATCCAAGGACTTCTTCCGAGCACTCTGCACCATGTTTCTACTCGAAAGGCTCCCAAACAGACTGTCAGGAGCATCCCGAAACTTGTCGCAGATGATGGCTACCTTCTTGTGGTCCAAGGACGCATAACTCTTCTCCCTGATCACAGCGTTCATGAAGCTCTCGGCGTGGTTGCTCAGCAGAAGATTAGTCAGCTGCCTAATCTCGACAAGGCAATCTTTAAAACTTGTTTCCTTTTTAAGGGCCGACAACCCAGTGGTGTGAAATCTGTCTTCTGCAAACTCCTCTAACAGTTTCAGGTCAATGTCAATACCTACAACCGCATTGATGCTCAACCTTTTCACCCTGTCGCTGAGAAGAACTGTTATTATGGAGTCTGAGATGTGGCTGAGTGAACCAGAAATGACCTTGAAGAGGGCCTCTTTTGGCAGAATCAGCTGTGCAGTCGATACCACCATGTCAAGGTAGATGAGCACTTCATTCATGTAGTCATTTGCATGTTCTGGAGTTTCCTCTGTTGTCCAATCGATGCTGGTCAGCAGCAGCATGAATTCATCAATTCTGGAATTGGCCGAGGTTATTAATCCATTGAACGCTGCGTTTTGGGAGGCCTTGAGCACAGCCCTAGCAGTCAAACCAGAATGAGGCTTCCCAAGCAGCCGTTTAGGAAGTCCACAAAGTTGGGCAGCATGCAAAAGGAACATGTCACATGACCGCTCAAGGATGGCAATATTTCCTGCAATCTGTACCAGCTGTGCGATTTCCAAACTACCATTATGTATCAACTTCAGAAGACCGTCATTTAGTACCTCAATTAAAAGCTTGTCTAGGTATCCTTTCACCACATCATAGGAGTTGACCACTACACCATATGACAAGTAGCTTACCAAATCCTCAATGAAGGAACGGATAATACGGCAAGCACCGGGAACTGATGAGGAAAATGGCGCAACATATGGCAAATCCGGCACTGCGTGAATGGGTTCAAGTTGACATGCTGCAACATTCATGTTGTAGTCATTTTCCTTCTCTATAACCATCCTTTCATGCGAGTCCTTAGCAAAGACACCTTGTATCTGCTTCCGACAATCTGAAACAAGCAGCTCATGATATCTCTCCCTGTTTTTGTCAAGAACTTCAAGCAAAGATGTGACTTGATACCCATACTTCTTCATGGTTGCAGCTAGAAGAGAGACATAATCTTTTACAAGGAGGTGGTGGTTAGCTGCATCCATGAGTGCAAACTGTTCCTCTAGAAAAGAGGTGACCTTAGAAATAGATGCCTCCCACATTGTGTCAACCTGGCTATCAGATAGAAGTCCCTCTGCAGTTCGAAGAACACGGTTTTCAACAATAAAAAATCCAGCTACCTGAGCAAGGAAGTGCTGGTGGGACTCAAGGAAGGGTTGTGTTGTAGAATTCTGCATGTCCAAGTTAAGCTGCATGAGTCTGTTACTGTAGTAATACTCTCGAAACTTCTCCCCAAGGCCAAGGGATATGTGGATGTTGTATGCTCGGTATACTGGAGTAAGATCAAATTCTAGTGTTGACTCTTCATCTATGTACTCCAGATCCAAGGCATAAGCATGCTCATCAAACCCCCCACGACTACATTCTTCTGCTTCCCTCTGCCAGGCACGCATTCGCTCATCTTTCTGACGATCCAAAGAGGCCTGGCGTATCGAGGCCTGTCCAATCTCCATTGCAAACTTTCTGATATACACAAGCCACTCATTAAACTCATTGGAAACTTTCTTCTCGATGTACAGCTTCATCATCGGTATCTTTTTCTGAACAACATTTTTAAGAAGCTTCAGAGGAATATTCTGCAGGTGGTCCTTCTCAATCAGCTCCAAAGTCTTCAGCACAGTGTGAAACTTGCCTTGGGCAATGTCCCTGTTGCACGACTGACACAGGCTGGTGACCTGCAGACAGATCTTCAATGTTGCAAGCGCTTCCCCAACATTCTTATTCGCCGCATACAACTCGAGAAGCTCATCGAGCTTCAGAAGCAGGGCACTAGCAACCTCCTGCAAGCGCAGATTCTCACCCGACAGCGCGCCCTTGAGCTCATCAGCATCGACCAGCACCCCACGCAGCTCATCGACCGCGAGGATGAATTCCTCATAGTGAAGCCTACAGAGCTCCTCGATCTCAACCTCCTTCCTCTTGGCGATACCCCTGAGGTTGTGGAAGAGAGCCTCAGGCCTTCCGGATTCAAAAGCATGCCGCACAATGGGACCCAAATCCTCGTTATTGGAGACGAAGCCAACGAGAGCCGTGCCGATAGCAGCATCCCCACTCTCCACAGGGCTCCTCTTCTTGGTCTGCGCAGTCATGGTTCAACTGCAAAACAAAATGGAAAATGGCCATTTCATCCAGATTTATGAGAAGATTTGGAGCTACAAATGCTGGGCATGTGAACTACGGAGAAGTAGAGGAAATTAACAATTCACAAACTGATTTTCTTGGAGAAGCCAAAAATAACAAGCATTTGTTTTAAATTTCCTGAAATCAAACAGCTATTAGTATGAGTTTAGGCCTTGAGGGTAACAGGACACCAAAATACATGGCGGATTCCTTGGCGGCTCAGGATGCAGGCGGAAACAGACGTAAATGTTGAAAATAGATGTGTGACCTGTGAACTAAAATATTGTAATACATTCCAGATTGAGTTGGGGAGAAATGGTGAAAATATGCTGTAGATTTATGTGACTGTGACTTTTTGGCTTGCCATTTCTGCCATGTATTTTCAAGAGCAATCGAAATATGGTTGAAAAATATCAATGGCAACCTGGGCACGTCACACCGATGCCTACTAGTTCTAGAATGTAATTCACTATTTTCTATGTTCATACGAGTGACTGGATATGATACAATTTACACGAGGTTGAGCTTCTGTGTACCCTTCGAATAATTATTCATGGTGAAATCTGAAGGTGAATAGCAGCTAGCGTACAAATCAGAATGCGAAGCTAGCGGCGGTGGTAATCCTGCGACCAGCGCTGTCCCAATTGACGGCCCTAGGAACGGGGGCCGGGGTAGGCCGGGAAAGGCCTCGAGGAAGAGGGATCTGGCCGGATTCGATTGATTCGCGGAGAGAAAAGTAGGGTAAAGAGAAACGTAACGGCAGTAACCCGAACAAAGCAGAGCAAAGCTAGGGCTTGCTTACCCAAGGAGAAGAAGCCTTGCCGGCCTGGGTGTCGGTGCGGCGGAGGGTCGCCGGCCGCTTCGAGGGTCGCTCCGGTGGCAGGAGGGGGGAATGAAGCTAGGCGACGCCGGATTCGGCGGCGACAGGTTCAGGAGTAGGACGGACGAAGCAAGGGGGAGGGGGAGGGGGCCGGCGGCAGACGGCAGCGGAGGACAGGCACGGGTGACAGCCAGTTTTTTTTGCTCTCGCAAAACCCGCTTCGCTAAATCCGCGGCGCCAGCTTTCCGGCTCCGTCGGCTGGCTCGCTAACTCATCCCCGGCATGGGCTGGCAGCCCAGGGTTTTTTTCTCGAGAAAACGCCCGAACACAAAGAACGCCACGGCCCAACAGCGGGAGCTCGCTCGCCCTGCCCCCAAACGCCTCGCCAGTTCGATCGGTTGAGCAAGTGAACCGGTTGACAGTTGACTTTTATTAAAAAAAACAAAATTTTGATACAAGTTCACAAAAAATAAAAAAAGTTTGTGAATTTGGAAAAAGTTCACAGATATGGAAAAAAATGTTCAAAAATTAGAAAAATACTTCATGGGTTTGAAAAAGTTCATGATTTCAAACATGTTTGTGAATTTGAAAACTTGCTCATGAATTTGACAAAATTTGCGGATTTAAAAAATGTTCATGAAATTAAATAAAATTTGTGAAATTGAAAAATAATCACAACTCTGGATAAAATTCTTTGATTTCTGAAAGTTCGCGGATTTATAAAAGTTCACAAATTCAGAAATGTGTGAATTTGAGAGATGTTTATAACTTTGAAAATTGTTCACGAAATTGGAAAAGATATCACGAATCCAAAAAGTTCAAAATTTTAGAAAAAACTTCATGAATTTGAAAAAACTACTAATTTAGAAAAGGAGAAAAATAAAAACATAAACAACGGAAAACAAAAGATAAAAGACCGAACAAAGAGCCGACAAAAAAAAGGGGGAAATGGTTCAAAACTTCACAAAGCCATAAGTGTGCCAATATTATGTTACGAAGCCATTACAATGATAATAGTGATATAAGATGGGTCAGCCCATTTTATGTGGGAGGGATCATGTATGTGCGTCACTTGGTGAAAACGCCTAGAAGTGACGTTTAAGGCACCAAATAAGGTTTGAGAGTAACCTGAGGGCAACAAATGGCGACAAATTTGCTTAAAAAATACCTTGTCGGCGTTTTCGGAATGGGGGTACCCAGACTTACCTGCCTGCGGCCCAACGCGTGGCACCGTCGACGGCCCGGTATGGCCCGGTTACAAGACTCTGCCAGTAAGACCCTCGCAAGGGCCCCCGGCCTCGCGAGGCAAAGATGCCAAGACCTCCCGAGGAGCGGACATTTCTATGCAGGTACCCCTCCTCACAAGGCTTGCAATGACGTGAGTCGTGACAACCAAGGCCAGGCGGGCGTTAGTGGGCGCAAAGGGGGGGCAATTTTCTCTTTGTTGCTAAGGAGGCAAGGACAAGCGCGGGTTCCCAAGGGATCCCCCAAAGATTTTCATTCCGGGGCAACAAGACCAAGACCACGAGCCCGATAGGACGGATGTCATCGTTGAGCCCACCACTGCGTCATGGCCAGAAGCTTGCAGGCGAAGACCACCTTTCGCCGGGATAAGATGTACCTCTTGTCCCCTTTCAAAATTGGCCATTGTGAAATCCCTTATTGCCTAAGCTATGAGTGAAGAGGACCAAGGCCACTATAAATATATGTTAGTCTCCACCATAGAGAGGGGTCAATCCATTCTCTCCCTTTGAGCCCTCGCGAAGCAGCTCACCCACTATACTAGTTTATTCTCAATCTCCTCGTGAGGCCAATCCACCACAAAGCAGGAGTAGGTTTTACACCGCAAGATGGTTCAAACCTGGGTAAATCGCCGCGTTCATTCCTTCCCCACTCGCACGAACTCAACAAGGCCAAGCCCTGAGGCGACGAGCTTGAGGGTAGCTAGGCAAGGTCTTCGCACATGCCCTAGAATTTGAACCTTGTTGGTAACGTGGAGCCCCGATTCCGACATTTGGTGTGCCAGATAGGGGCGTGTCGAAACTCCCGTCCGCTTCACTTCGTCCCTGCTTCATCGCTCCCATGGCCGACGCTCGTCGAGTTCGCGCCGAGCTTCGGGCCGCTCGTGTCGCCCAGATGGTGCCCATGGGCCGCGGTGTTCCGCGTCGCTCTACTTCTCCCGCAGCTAACGCTGCCATCGACCTTGCTGCTCATGAGCAGCAGGACTCTTCGTTGTCGCCCTCCGTGCAGCGTGATGGCTGCACCGCCACTCCTTCCCTCACACCCGCCCCGGTGTCGTCTTCTCATGCTCATCGCGGGCTGGCAAACGCGCAGGCTGCACTGCTCATGGCGCGCGAGCTGCTGCCCTACCGCCCTGCCAATGAGGGCTACAACGCTTGCCTGGGCCGCATCACCGAGCTCGTCAATGCTGCCGATGAGGCCCCGGCGCCATCCCACTCGCTCCGTCCCCCGCCCTCCCGTGCGGGCGATGTAGCTCACGGCGCGCCTCCACCTCCTCCTATGCGCAATGTTGATGCTCAGCCAAGGCATGACGCGCGGAGCGCCTGTGCCGACGCGAGATGAGGCCAATTGCCGGGAGGTGCAGCAGTCGCAGTACGACGCGTGTGCGCTCCCCGCACCACCGCGCCAGTGATGTCTACTACACAACCTTCTTCTTGTAGACGTTGTTGGGCCTCCAAGTGCAGAGGTTTGTAGGACAGTAGCAAATTTCCCTCAAGTGGATGACTTAAGGTTTATCAATCCGTGGGAGGCGTAGGATGAAGACGGTCTCTCTCAGACAACCCTGCAACCAAATAACAAAGAGTCACTTGTGTCCCCAACACACCCAATACAATGGTAAATTGTATAGGTGCACTAGTTCGGCGAAGAGATAGTGATACAAGTGCAATATGGATGGTAGATATATGTTTTTGTAATCTGAAAATATAAAAACAGCAAAGTAACTAATGATAAAAGTGAGCGAAAACGGTATTGCAATGCGTTGAAACAAGGCCTATGGTTCATACTTTCACTAGTGCAAGTTTTGTCAACAATAATAACATAATTGGATCATATAACAATACCTCAACATGCAACAAAGAGTCACTCCAAAATCACTAATAGCGGAGAACAAACAAAGAGATTATTGTAGGATACGAAACCACCTCAAAGTTATCCTTTCTGATCGATCTATTCAAGAGTCCGTAGTAAAATAACACGAAGCTATTATTTCTATTCAATCTATCCTAGAGTTCGTACTAGAATAACACCTTAAGACACAAATCAACCAAAACCATAATGTCACCTAGATACTCCAATGTCACCTCAAGTATCCGTGGGTATGATTATATGATATGCATCACATAATCTCAGATTCATCTATTCAACCAACACAAAAAACTTCAAAGAGTGCCCCAAAGTTTCTACCGGAGAGTCAAGACAAAAACGTGTGCCAACCCCTATGCATAAGTTCACAAGGTCACGGAACCCGCAAGTTGATCACCAAAACATAGATCAAGTGGATCATGTGAATATCCCATTGTCACCACAGATAAGTACATGCAAGACATACATCAAGTGTCCTCAAATCCTTAATGACTCAATCCGATAAGATAACTTTAAAGGGAAAACTCAATCCATTACAAGAGAGTAGAGGGGGAGAAACATCATAAGATCCAACTATAATAGCAAAGCTCGCGATACATCATGATCGTGCCGGATCAAGAACACGAGAGAGAGAGAGAGAGAGAGAGAGAGAGGGATCAAACACATAGCTACTGGTACATACCCTCAGCCCCGAGGGTGAACTACTCCCTCCTCATCATGGAGAGCGCCGGGATGATGAAGATGGCCACCGGTGAGGGATCCCCCCTCCGGCAGGGTGCCGGAACAGGGCCCGATTAGTTTTTGGTGGCTACAGAGGCTTGCGGCGGCGGAATTCTCGATCTAGGTTATTTTCTGGAGGTTTCTGTATTTATAGGAATTTTTGGCGTAGGTCTCATGTCAGGGGTGGTCTCCGAGTCGTCCACGAGATAGGGGGACGCGCCCAGGGGGTAGGGCGCGCCCCCCACCCTCGTGGACGGCTCGTAACTCTTCTGGCCCAACTCTTTTACTCCGGGGGTTTCTTTTGGTCCATAAAAAATCATCAAA